TTTATCTAGATGTATTACCTTTAGTTTTGAACTTTTTAAAAAATTATTTACATGAATCTTATATTTTTGAATTTGAATCTAACCAAAAATAAATAAATAAAGGATGAAATATTATATAAATATAAATATCAAAAATATTTATAATAATATTTTTCTTTACAAACCCTATTATAAACAATAATAAATTTATTTATTGTAAAAAATCAATAATAAACTTATATTACATAATTTTAAAAAAATTATATATAAAATTTATATATTAACTAACAAAATAATATTTTTTTTAGTTTAAATAATTTCATTTTTATTTGCGCATCACACGGGTCTATGTCTAGTTTAAGTAAATGTTCAAATTTAATTCAATTTCAAAAAATTAACAGTTACATATTAAACCAAATGACTATTGGACATAGTGTTTTTAAGACATTTTTTTCATGAGAAGATTTTTATAAATATTTATTTATTTATTTCATTGTTGATCTTAACGTATTTTAGTTTTATTTATTTGTGTTCTTACCGGGGATCCGAGGTGGAGATGATCCGCTGGGTAAGGTCGGTGAGTCTCCTTCACTGGTACGTTGATGCTCCAAGATGGGGGTGGTACCTGCAAAAGAGACTTTGATGCTAAAGTTAGTGTTTGTGGGTGTATGAGTCTCGTATAAGTAATGCACGTACCTTTGTGTGTATTAGGATTTTTTTGGGCCTTGGGCCTAATATCAGTTTATGACCTAATTGGATAGCGAGCCGATGTTGCCTAGCGCGTGTTCGAGGTCACTCCGTGCTGTGATGCCGAGTTCGAGCTCGGCATAGCGGTACGGATAGTACACTAGCCCCCAAGCTCCGAAGACCGTAGGTCGAGGAGTTAAGACCGAGCTCGACAAGGGGTTGTGACTTTTCGCGTACGCCTATTTGTAATGACGCCATGTGTCATAACTGTCACCTCGTTCCCATAACGCGTGGGCGGCGCGGTGACAAGATTGTATTTTTATTTGTTTGATAACGTGGCCTCTTTGGGCCAATGTGGCGTTCCGATGTCCATGTTTCATGGTCGGGCTAAGGAGCTCGGCAATAATGAGCTTACTGTTTGGTTAGGTTGGTAAACCTTTGACCGAGTCAGCAGATTGGTAAGGGACAAGTCGGCAACTCGGCTGGCCAGTACACTTTCCCCCCAAGCACCGAGTGATGTAAGAGCAAAGGGGCTTTTGAGGAGTTCCCAAATTTGTTGTTTGAAGGTTCAAATTCGACCTTGTTAAGTAGATGTGATCTCAAGGTTCGGACTCGACCTTGGCATATCAAGGTTCGAACTCGACCTTGGTTAAGAAAATGTGATCTCAAGGTTCGGACTCGACCTTGGCATATCAAGGTTCGAACTCGACCTTGGTTAAGAAAATGTGATCTCAAGGTTCGAACTCGACCTTGGCATCAAGGTTCGGATTCGACCTTGGCAACGTAATTTGTATTTGAAGGTTCGAACCCGACTTTAACATCAAGGTTCGAACTCGACCTTGGCAAGTCGTCATGGTTAATGTGCCAATACCGAAAATGTATGGGAATGGAGTTGCTTTGTTGATTTATTTCTGAGGTGTGCCTCGTTAAAACCTTCCTTGGCCAAAAACCCTTTTCTTTAGTGGGAAAAAAGGCTGAGGAGGAAAAAGAGTACATCCCCTGAATTTACAAGTTAAGAGAAATAAAATTTGAGGTGGGTGGAATTCCAAGTTCCAAATTTTCCTTTGGAGGGGTCTGTTCTTGCTTCTCCCCGTAATCGCCAAACAAGGTCGCCAACTTTAAATGTTCATGGCCTGACCTTGGTCTTGCTTTCCTTGTGGTTTGTCGCGAATTGCCTTGCGGAACTCGGCATGCTCCTTCATCTGGATGTACCCAGCAGCGCGAGCTCGGAGCTCGTCCATGTCGGGAGGAGGTCGTCGACAAAGGCTGTCGACGAAAGGTCCTGGCTTCAACGCCATGAGCATGGAGAACAGTGCGACCTCGGGGTTTAAGTTGCGGATTTTGACGGAGACGCCAGTGAAGCGCTCCATGAATGTCCTTAATGGTTCGTCGTCGCCCTGTCTGGGGCTGGCCAAGGTGGCGGATGTGATGTGATGAGGTCGGAGCTATCGAATGATCCCCTTGGCAATTGGGTATACCAGGCGAGTGCCGACCCCTTGAGTGAGGCTGGAAAAACCCTACACAGAATAGCATCTTCATTAGTGTATAGGTTTACCTGTGTGACGTATAAGTCAATGTGTTCATCTGGATCCGTCGTGCCGTCATAGCAGTCGATGTGGAGGGGCTCCCAGCCGAAAGGCAGAGGTGTCTCCATGATGTCGTCCACAAAGGGATGGCTGCTAATGCTCGTCCGATTTCTAAGAGCTTGAGTCGGAGCGTTGCTGACTTCATGGGCCGACCTGTTCGTTGGCGCGTGAGACCGATGTGTGGCAGGTCGGGGAGTCGGTGCCCTAGGCGCGATTGAGGGTTGAGAGACCGAGAGCCCCTTCTCTTCGTGTTGACTACTCGGTTGAGGGGGCTGATCAGAAAGGCGCCGAGGAAGCTGGTCGCGGATATGCTCGTTCTCGGCACGCAGCGCCGCTAGGTCAGTTTCGTGCTTGGCACGAATGTTTTGCAGATCGGCAGTGTGTTGTTGCCTCATCTGCTCGACTTGTTCGATCAGCCTTCTCAATGCTGCTTCGTTGTCTATGGTTGTCGTGCGATCTGCGTCGTCTGTTGCGCGTCTACTATGGCTTCGGGTGAATACCATAAGCGTGGCCGATAAGAGCTATCTTGATCGGCCCCACGGTGGGCGCCAAATGTTCTTACCGGGGATCCGAGGTGGAGATGATCCGCTGGGTAAGGTCGGTGAGCCTCCTTCACTAGTACGTTTATGCTCCAAGATGGGGGTGGTACCTGCAAAAGAGACTCCGATGCTAAAGTTAGTGTTTGTGGGTGTATGAGTCTCGTATAAGTAATGCATGTACCTTTGTGTGTATTAGGGTTTTGTTGGGCCTTGGGCCCAAGATCAGTTTATGACCTAATTGGATAGCGAGACGATGTCGCCTAGTGCGTGTCCGAGGTCACTCCGCGTTGTGATGACGAGCTCGAGCTCGGCATATCGGTACAGATAGTACAATTTGTAATGAATTGATCTGATTCATATTTTTAATTTCTAATTTGATAAAAAAAAAAACAAGAATATCAATAATAGATCTTTTGAATTTTTAAATTATTTTTTTAAAAATTTAAAAAGTCATCAAGAGATATATTTTTATTATTATTTAAAAAAATCTAAAATAATAATAACCAAATATCAATATATAGGATTGAGAATATAATTGGAACAATCCCCCAACCTTACTGCCATTGAAAGAGACCCAACCAAGTGGAGGATCCCTCAATTTTAATTGGTAAAAATGCAAAAACTCAGGTAGGGACGCGTCTATCCCTAAGGCTAAGCACAACACTTGGAAGGCTCAGAGGAAGGCCCAACTGTATTGGGGTGGAGTTGACAAAGGGTTACATTGATATGTTTAAGAAAAGAACACTTGAAAGAGGAAAAAGGGATGATGACATCGAGGTCTTTGAAAAGGCATCAGTGCATGTAGAAAAAAGGGGATGACGAAGGGCTTGCCATAAAAACCCGCTCGCCAAGTTAGCAGGGCTCGACCACAACAAGTTTGGAAACCCCAGGTTCTTAAATTGCAAGGAACTTCCAGAGTGAGCTCACCTTGGCTTGAGACTAAAACCTACTCTCAAACTCTCCCACATAGCCTCTAACCCATTCATATCCATCCACCGCAATGACGGAGTGGGAATCTTTCATATTATTCCCACCTCATTTCCTCTTGTGGTCGTTGCCTCTTTAGAAACCACCTCCCTCTCCTTAACAACCTTACCCTTGCCCTTGGGCGGGAAAGCAAAATTTGGAGCCACGAGAGGCCCAAAGTGGGTACGTGAAGAAGAAGACCCCAACTCTTCCACACCCTCCATGACTAATACAACCACAAATACCAGGAAAGGAACAAAACAAGCAAGGAAATGATACCTGGAGACACTAGGACAGAACCACAAACAGAACGATCGGAGAAGAAGGAGGATGACCGAAGAGGAAGCATAGGGAACATGAGAGCACGAAGAGGGCATGAGAACAAAGAGAAAGTGAGAGTGAACAAGGAAAACGACAAAATTTTAAGGAGTATTACACGACAAGAAATGTCAGGAGGGGAGTCCTCATTTAATAGGCCTCATAATGACAAGACATGACCCGTCATTAATAGTCGTCACTCCTCGTTAAAAATTCCGCCTTTTGTCATAAAAAAGCGTGCTATTTCAAGAAAAGAGAAACGACACTTGAAACGTAGAGGGGTCTGATTTAAAGGATTGAAGAGTCGCGACGCTTCACCACACTATCTGAGAAAGCTCTTATATACCTACTCGGGCACTCAGAGCTTGGGGGCTGGTGTACCAACCACACCAAGTCAATGACATCGATTGTATGGCATAACAAATATATATGTCGACCTTGGCAAATGCCCAACTCGACTGATGACCACTCGCTCACATCAGTCGAAAATGCCAGGTTACCTTGTAACCAATATGTGAAAAAGATAGCATGCAAATCATGCCATATCCTAACCAACAAGATATCCATGTAAAGGATAACCCTAAATATACCAAAGTACGTACAATATATATATAAGATATCCACATCTACCGAGCGAAGGAGACTTAGCGATCTTGCCAAGGAAGGTTGGCACCAAACCATCTCAAGTGAGAACAATAGTCATTTTAGTTATTAAATATATATTAATATTATCATTTAAATTACTCTCTTTTTTAAATTTTTGAACCAAAATAAATAGCATTTTATACTTTCTAGAATTCTTTTTCAATTTTAATATTTTGAGGAAGTGGGGGTGACCGGAAAGTTATTTTATCCTATCAAGCAATAAATATGGTAATTAAAGCATATTTAAAGTGAAGAGGAGTATTACTAAAAGAGAAGAAAAATGTGGAGGCTGAAGGTTGCAGACGGAGGAAAAGATCCACACATATTCAGCACTAACAATTTCACAGGGAGACAAATATGGGAGTTTGATCCTAACGCAGGCAATGAAGAAGAACGAGCTCAAGTTGAAGCAGCTCGTCAAGATTTCTATGCAAATCGTTTCAAGGTTAAGGCCTGTGCTGATCGACTTTGGCGATTTCAGGTACCTATTATTACTGTATTACAAAATTAATTATTCTTATGCAATCACACTAATTATCATTTTTTTATTTTTGGCTTCTGCAGGTTATGAGGGAAAACAATTTTAAACAAACAATACCTTGTGTGAAAATAGAAGAAGAGGAAGAGATTACATCTCAGAAACAGAAAGTTACTATCACATTCAAGAGGGCTGCTCATTATATATCGGCACTACAAACTGTTGTGCTCCTCTCTTTTACATTTCTCCTTTCGTAAGTTCAACTTACTTTATATATTTTTTCAACTTTAAATATATTTTTAATTTTTAAATTTAAAATAAATTTATTTTTAGTTTCTTAAATTTAAAATTATATTTTTAATTTTGTTATTTAATTTTTTTTTTTATTTTCATCTTTATATTCAAAATTTATTAAATAATTTGTCAAATACTATTACATAAAATATAATTTTGATGTCTCTCTTAATAAAAAAAATCACATTAAATCTATTTGAACATAATAGTCTCAATCTGATATTTTCACACATGTTATAGGTGACATGAGAGATCAAAACAAAATTTTTAAAAATTATGAGATTAAAAATAATAATTTTAAATGTTATATATATATATATATATGAGGTTCCGTTTACTCTAGGAGCTTTAATATATAGATTAAATCTGTAAATTTTTTAAAATTTTGAAAATTATTTGTGATTTTTTTCATTAATTCAAATTGACGAATAATCATAAAAACATGTTATCTGTCAATTTAAATTAATAAAATGAAGTATTAAATAATTTTTAATTTTTTTTAAGATTTATAGATTTGATCAGTGCATTAAGAACTTTAAATTTAATAGTTAGATCGTTAAGATTTGATATAGAACATGAGTTATTGAACATAGTAAGTCTAGGTAGATTTCAAATTATCTCTCTACATTATCTTCTATTTAAAAAAAAAAAAACATTTTTAGTGGGAATGGGAGTTGTAGCTAAAACTGGAGAATGAGGTTTATCAAATACAAAAATGGATATGGAAGGCTGATGTATCTAGCCAATATACAGTGAAATTAGCTTACAACGTTAGAAGGATCTTAGGTAAGTTTTCTAAAAATATGTGGGTCAAATGGGTGATTCGGATCGGAATGTGCAATTTTGAGTGCTTGAGATGGTGGGGCGTTTGCTATGCACTACATAATGATGCTCAAATCCATTTTCTACAATTTATTTAGGGTTGCTAAATTGTAATGCTCAAAACAAATCTAAATGGCAAGTTGGTTGGTTGGTTAATTAGGAATTCTCTGATTTTTTTCTTCATGATACATGTGGGACATTGATAAAATTGTAGAAATGCTTAAATTACAATCTTCGCAATATCTCATAGACTCATAGTTGTGTGATATGGAGTATTTCTTTTCATGTCGGATATATACTAAATCCAAAAGCATGTATGAGAATAAAATAAGTATCTATGAAAATTGTAGCACGGTGGGGAAAATAATTATGAAAAAGATTTTTAATTTTTAATTTATTATAATTACTTATAAATTAAATTTTAATATATTACAACAAATTATCAATAAATAATTTTTTTTACTATAATATATTATTTATAATAAATTTAAAATATAATTTATATGTTTAAATATTTATTTATATAAATTTTAAATATAATTTATATATTTAAGTATAATATTTATTTTTATATATAATTTATTATAAATTTTAATTATATATAACAAATATTTAACCTATGCACATTACAACAACAAAAAAGTAAAATAATATGATTTTGAAGAGAGAAGAAAAATTCATTCTTGAAAGAAAAGAAAAAAAATTGGTCCAAAGAAAATTTTGGTAAATGAATGGGACACAAATATGGGCCTGAAGGGAGTGAAGAAAATCCAACAAGGAGGAACTGTTGCGGGCCCAAAAACATTGGTTGCTTCCAAACCCTAAACACACTTGCATTGGGTCCTTTTATACTCGTGTCCTCCGGTGTTGTTTCCCTTCTTCAGCACCCGCGCCGTTTCTGTGCTTTCACTCTGCTACCTCGGTAAGATCTGATTCCTATACCACGTCCGTGTTTTGCTTAGCACTACGAAATTAGGTTCGGCGTTTCCTAGATTTGCTTTATTATTCACCTTATCTTATTTTATGTTGTAAAAATGGACCCTGAATCCTTTTCGGTGTTTAAATTGTTGTTGTGATCCTTGGGTATTGTAGTTTATGTTGTGGTGGCCAATTAGAGGATACCCTCTTAACCAAATTTCACCTTTCTCTGGAATTCTTGGCTATTTTGTTTCTTCTGTGCGATCATGAAATGCATACATTACCGCAATTACATGTGGTGTTCAAAATGATGTTTTGTAGTGTGACAGTGATGGGTGTTTAGGGTTTGGTGATAGCTAGGATGAACTTGTAGCTTTTGTTCAGATTGTCATCTTACGTGTTTCTCTTATTCAAGGTAGTTTAAATATGGTTGTATTATTGGACTGTTGAGTTTTAAGCATTTGAAAATAGACAATAGTGTTTATTGTTTCTTTGATCTTACATTTGATTGGCACATTCTTGGCTCATGTCAGTGTGGTTAATTTTTGTGAATTCGTGACAGTGAACAATGGTGAGGGTTAGTGTCTTGAATGATGCTCTCAAGAGCATGTACAATGCTGAGAAGCGGGGAAAGCGCCAGGTCATGATTAGGCCATCCTCAAAAGTGATTATAAAATTCCTTTTGGTGATGCAAAAGCATGGTATTTGTTGATCTCTATCCTTTTTTTTAATGATTTCTCAATTTGATTACTATTGGGTTCATAATTATACTGTTTTTTTTACCTTGATTTGATGTTTTGTAGGGTACATTGGAGAGTTTGAGTACGTTGATGATCACAGAGCTGGAAAAATTGTGGTTGAATTGAATGGTAGATTGAACAAATGTGGGGTTATTAGTCCCCGTTTTGATGTGGGTGTCAAAGAGATTGAAGGTTGGACTGCTAGGCTTCTTCCCTCGAGACAGGTCAGCTCAAAAGCCTTGCCCTTGTCATTCTTATATTAAAGACCATAAACTGTTTTTGAAACAACTTCTTTGAGTAATATCATCCTAACATTGGTATAGATCATCTTCTAAAGGCCTTATTTGTTTTCAATTTTTGAAGAAAGACTTTAGCATTAAGAATTTGTAATTTTAAATGTCATAATTTTTTCAGTTAACAAAATTCTTAATTGTGATAAAATTGTCAAGTCTCTATTTTGTGAAAAATAATTCCTTGATATGTATTGAAGGACCTGCACTTCATACAAAGTGCCATAAGGCTACTGTAAGAGCCAGGTACTCAGGGCTGTTTGGTTTGAGAAAATTCTGATTTCAATTTGTGTAGGTATTAGTAAAAATAGCAAATAAAAGCAGATAAGGATCAATATTTGTTTTCACTAATTTGTATGTAAGCTTTTGAAAAAAGAAAACAAAATAAAAACAAGGTGACATTTCTGTAATTAAAAGTGAAAATTAAAAATGGAAACATAAAGAGTTGTTTTCAAACAGGAGCCCCAGAATTGCAATTGTGTTTTGGCCCAGCTGATGAAGGGGCACAAATTCTCCAATGAAAATTGTGTTTTCACTTTGAATTCTCCCAACATAAAATAGTGCCTGTGTAAAATTCTAAAGTAACAACAATGATAACAGTAAAGCCTTATCTCACTAGGTGAGGTTGTGTAGGACCCTAACTTCTTTTGCCTCTGGTTTTGCCATTCTCTCTTTGATGTTTCTGTCTCAAATTTGTCTGTAATGTGATGGCAACTTGCCAATGGATTTGTTTTATGATACAATTTTCATGTATAATGTTTCTTCTGTATTGGAGAATTCACTGATATGAAATAACATGCCCTAACCTTTGGATTTGATCACACAAACGATGCAGTTTGGGTATATTGTGTTGACTACCTCTGCTGGAATCATGGATCATGAAGAAGCAAGGAGAAAGAATGTTGGTGGGAAAGTGCTGGGTTTCTTTTACTAGTCTAGTTTCCTTTGAAGATTTTGCGCTGATTTCAGTTTTTGAAACTTGATCAATGTGTTAGACTCGTAGTATATTATTAAGTATAGCATAGCAGGAGCAGATTTTCTGATGTGCTGTTTTGTTTGCCGAACCAATTTGATGACTATAATTTATCTTATTTTGTTATGGTTCTTTTTTTCTTTAGCCAAGATATATTGGCTGAAATAATCTACCGTTCCGTACTAGCGATGGTGGAATTGGTATTATTACGACTATATCAACGAGAACTACGATATTGCATTGCTTGAATTGAATTTTCATCTAGTGATTGGTTTTTGAAATGGACAAAACTTACCTATAATTTCTTAGGTATGATTACTGTGTTTTTTAATTAGAATTGGAGTGTTTTTTACAGTAATATGTCCTTGTATTTAATATTGATTTCATTAATATATATTTTTAACATATATTTTTACACATGGTAGGAGGTAAAAATGTTAATTAGGGAATGACACTAATCATTCGAACTTGAGGTTTGTCCTTTTGAAATAAGTTGTCTAATAGATTATTTTTGCCATACATAAATGTTGTGATTTTTCTGTCACTTTTTCGGTCTATCATATAGATTGTGTTAAGAGTTTTTATCGAAGATTATGTTACAGTTGCATCGGTAATCAGCACTATCATGCTTCTCAATATAACTTATTATTGCCCTTAGGTATGGGCTAGCTTTTTCCATTTACATATTTTCGTTAGTATATGAACTTTTTATTAGGGGCGAGCTCCAATTCGACTGAAGTAGAAAAAATTGAAAGAAAAAAAATTTAAATAGGTGGGTTCACATGGGTTTTTTCAAGTTAAGTGGGTTAAAAATGTAGTTATTGGTTTAAGTGGGTGAAAAATACAATTTAAAATGGTTAATTTTGACTAAGTTCGATTTACGTTTTTGAATTCATTGTTATTTGAAATTAAAATTCTAAATAAAATAAAAGTTAAAATAATTATCATTTAAGATTAAAAGTTAAGTTTATTTTGACTCGATTTTAATCTTTATTGTTAATGCATAAAAAAATTCTAGATAAGGATGTAATTTGTAACTTTCTTTTTTTATATCATGTATCTAAAAAATTATTATAATATATTTAAATTACTTGAAACTTGAATAATTTTATTTATTTTGACTATAAATGAATTAAATAATATTTGAATGGTTGAATGTATAAAAAATGATACAATAATTGAATAAAAGTTTTATTTAAACTAATTAACTAATTCAAAGTTCAATACATTTTTATCCATAAAAAATCGTTTGATAAAAATGAGATCCACTCAAACCAAATTCACCTAAATCAATAAGTTTGAAATCCTGGATTATATCAATTTAAGCTACATCAATTTAAAATCGATCATACCCTACTATTGATTATCCCTACTTTTTATTGATCGCTTAATGTTTTATTTTTTAGTTTTCAGGGAGGGTTGAAAATTATTTCACATTTTGAGGTGAAATGGAATATGGATAGTGCTGTGAACAATTAAATGGATAATATTTTGGGTCTAACCATAACTCTTTTTATGGTAATATATGTGTCCATGTTGAATTGATTTTTAAAGGAGTTTGTAAAATTGGCTTTGAATAAAATTAGTTTATGTTAAAATGTTTTTTCTTGATAATAATTAAACATCTATATTTATGTTAAAATCAAGTTTAATATGATGCAAAACAAATTTTGAAGCATTTTAGTGTAAAAGCACTGTTTACTTAATGTGCATAGAGGGGCACGATAAGCAATAAGGAATATAATGGAAAATAAAAATGTTTTATGCGGCATTTGGTACATTGAAAATTTTATATATGAGAATTATGATTTTTGAAAATTATGAAAATTTAATCTATTTGATTGGTCATTAGTGTTTTTATGAATGTTTATAAATGTTACTTGAAAAATAAAGATTTTCACCGTATTAAATAAAAAAATAAAGATAATATAAATTTTTTACTCCATGAAAACTTTAGTATATTTTGGAAAAGTTAGTTTTCCACCATCTCATGAGAATAATTTTGTAGAAAATTTATGCAAAACACATTTCTAAGAAATTATGTTTTTTTTAGAAATGTTATTTCTTAAATAATACACTGAACGTGAAAAATTAACATTTTCAAGATAACAAAAATTTGTTATGTACTGAATGTCTCCTTAAGATTTTTGTTTGTTTGTTTATATATATATATATATAATATATATATAAATAAAAGGGATCTACTTATATATTAGAGTAAGTTTACTGTTTTGTATAAAATTTTAATGATTCAACTATTAAATTAAAAGTTTTTACACACATTTTTTTAAATAAAATAAACACTATTTTGCTTTTTAAAGTTTATATCTGTTTCTTCAATAATATTTTTTTTAGAAAAAAAATTAAATTCTAAATAAACGAACCTTTTAATTTTAATGTTAAAACTCAATTACTTTTTTTTCACACACACTATCATTTAAAAAAAAAGAGCACTATTTTGCCTTTTAAAGTTTACATATGTTTCTTCAATAATTTTTTTAGAAAAAAAATTAAATTCTAAATAAACGAACCTTTAATTTTAATGTTAAAACTCAATCATTTTTGTTTTGTTATATTTCAAGAAACTCTTTAAACTATGGTTATACAATATGGTTCTCCCTGTGAAAAATGTGTTTGATAACAAATCAATGAAAAAGATAATATAATATGATTTCTCAATTTACGATTTTTTTAAAATCAAAAGCCGTCTTATAAAATATGACGTTTTTCTTTTAAAGGCGCAGTTATGTTTTGTAACACCACTCGCTTATTATTATTTTTGTTTAAATTGTAATTTTTGCTTAAAATAAAAAAAATCATGCTTCTATTGATTTTTATTTTTAATAAATAGAAATTGTAGACTTTCGGCAAAAACAAAAACAAGAAAAGAAGAAGCAAATCAAAACAAGTGGATGGAACAAGGATTGAGTTTTGATTTTTCAAGTTTCAACGTCCAACTCAAGTATTTCCTTTTCTTTTATTAATTATTTTGGTCGCAATTAAAAGTTGGACTTATATATACCCATCAAGTTGGGAACTAACAATAATTATGGTTTTCATTTTCATTGTGCATGGGACAGTGATATTGAGTGTTTGGCCGAAAAAGGATTTGGGAGCACGTGGGAGTTATCATCAATACTCGATAGAGAAAAATCATATAAATGAAAATTTTCATTTTCAACTATAATTATAAGCTTCCATTGTACCCATAAAAATCTGAAAGCTTGACAAACTTAAAAAGAACATTAATACTTTGTTTTCCAAGTACACTAGTAATGTGTTTAGTCTCTGTTAATGTACTTTACCATGCAATTAATACACTTTTTTTTTCATTTTAAAGTTACTCATTGCTTTTAATGTATATATAACATATTTGATACACTATCTAAAGCTGAGAAATAAATATTATTCTATACTCAAGAGTTCCCATGAACATTTTCCTATATATATTTAAAAAAACGGGAAGATAATAATTGAATCTTATTTGAACGTTTGTTGGAGCAATTAATCTGAACTAAAAATCAGAAGGGTTGCCATGTTTAGTTTTTATGATTTGTGGCAGAGAAAATTGTTAAGATGAAAATAGTGAGAATAAAATTAGTGATAGTGGAGGTGATTGTACAAATCCCTCTTTGACCTGGCCATCCATTTTCCCATCCACAGCGCATTGCCACCATGGCAACAATAATGTCATATAAATTATTGATACATGATCATACTCTAGCTTTCAAACATGTAATTAATCATTGCTTCAATTTTCAGATTTCTTTATATAAAAAATTCAATTTCTTAAATAACTTTTCATGTTTCAAAAATAAGTTTCAACTCTGGATAAAATAATACTCTTGAGTCTTGACACCTAAAACAAAAATGCATCCATATTGCAAGAAGAAAGCCACCTTTGGTCCCCACTCAAATGTTACTTATTTTCAGAAGATGATTTGTTTGTGGGTTTCTTTTTTTTAGTAGTTTCTTTAACGAATTGTTGTGATAGAAAGACCTTGACTAAATGAATTGATAGGCATTATGATATTTTAGTGCTGTGGGAACTAACAGCCAAACATGACAAAAGATTTTGGGTGTAAAATAAACAAACACATGTTCCTGTTCAGTTATACATAGTTGCTCTTTACTTGTTTTCAACTCAAAATCAGAAGCAACGTATCCTTTGCTTGAAGAAAGGTTTTTTAACTTATCATTCTTTTAAGAAAAACTTTAATACTTTTTCCTCACAAATGAAAAATCAAGTTGCAATATATACAACACCATTTTAATGTTGTATTTATTAAATTTTTGAGTAATTCATGTAAGACTTGTAAATTAATTTGTAAGATTGAAGGGAGTTCGTGTAATATGTAAATGGTTTTATATTTGAGCTTTATTGTTATTACGGTAATTTTTAGTGATAAAAAAATAATTTATTTTCTATTCTATTATTTTATTCATTGTACTTAAAATAATGTACGTGGCTTAGTTTATTATATAAATAAAAAGTATAAGTTATATGATATCCATGTTTTCAATTTATCATTTAAATAATAATAATAATAATAATAATAATAATAATTTTACTAAATGAAAAATAAAAAAATTAGGGTAAATTATTAACATATAAAAAATTAAATTTGTTTTAAAATCATATTACATATAAAAAAAATATATGTTTTATCACTACTAGAAAAATTAAAATTAGAGAGGGAACGAATCCGTCACTAAATTTTATAAAATTCATCACAAAACAAATTAGTAACGGAAAATTGTGACGGATCTTTTAGAGACAAAATTTAATCCGTCATTAATTTGATTTTTTTATTCAGTGACAAAAATTGTGACAGATCTTTTAGAGATAAAATTTATTTTGTCACAAAATCCGTCACAAACTTCAATAAATGGTAGTCCGTCACAAAAATTAAAATTCCCTCATAAATTTTGTCACTATCAGTGACGATGTTTTGTCCGTCACAAACATTCGTCACAAATATTAATCTTTCTAGTAGTGTATGAAAATTATAACTTAAAAATATTATTCATGAACAATAATAATTAAAATTTTAAATGTTTTTAAATTTATATAGTTTAAAATAAATCATAATAATTTATTCAAAAAACAATTAAATATAGAAATTTAATGATAATAATTTGTTAAGTATTAATTTTTTGCATTAAATATTGTCAGAATTTTTTCAATATAAAACACATATATTTAATAAATAACAATCAACATTATGATGTAAAAGAATCAATAATATTATGCCCTCAGCTTTATTTAATTCTATATCTACATAGCACATTGAACATGTGTAATTCAGCTGGTTAGGTAAGTTCATGAAATGTTTTAATTCTTGATATTGAGTTTGATTTTTATGATTAAAAAAAATCCAACCATTTTATGTTATATATATATATATATTAAATTTTTAAATAATCATATATTAAAAAAAATAGTGACTAATTTTCGTCAAAGATCATAAACACATACATTATTGATATTTTTCTCCTAACATAATCTATTTCATATCCAAAAATTCAAATCTTAAACATCTTGATTAAGGAATACTTGTTATAAAATATATTATATTTAGTAAATTTGAAAACTATATTATGCTTACAAAATATAGCATTTAATATTATGTGGTCAATTTTGCTTATATAAAAAAATAGTTAAAACAACATTACTAAAAATGTTTTTATATATATATATATAAAATTTATAAGTAAGTTTGACTACTTTATAAAAAAAAGAGTAAATTTGACCACGAAAATACTAGATGTTATATTTACTAAAAATAATTAGATTTATTAAATGAATATATGTCTCTTTATATTCATAGAATTTATTTTAAAAAATTACTAAAAGGATAATTGTTGCAAATTTTATTATTATTTTTTATTTTATATTAAAATAAAGATCAAATGAAAAAAAGATATAAAACAAAAGAGTCATATGTATTTTAATAAATTCTTTTTAAATAAATATTTTATTAAATATTTTCATATTATTAAAAAAAACTTAAAACTAATTGAATAAGTTACAAACACACTCATAATAAGATAATATACTTATTTTTCTTTTTGGTGATAACATAATTATTAATTATGTAAAAAGAAATAAATCTTTTTATAAACCATTAATCGGTTTAGGATCACATTTATCATCTACTTGGATCCAAGATAATACGCTAGCGAAAAATGTCACCAAAGTTCTAAAGCATACAAAAGGATATATATATATATATATATATATATATATC